AAAACCCTTCAATACGATGTCGGATGAAGATAATTTTTATATGTAAATTGTAGACCTCGATGAGATCTACAACTTTGTAGTTTTTGCATTTGAGGACGTTAAGATGCTCGAAAAAATAATATAAAATTTTGGCGCTCCTGAAAATATCAAAAGTTACTGTTCATCCGCAAAACCGCCCGAAGGTTGAAAGTTGAACTTTTTCGAGGGTTGAGGGCCAAAGTTGTTCGGTTTTGAAGTTTGATGTTGAAATCGATGAAAGTTAGAGGGTGTAAATTATACTTTGCCCTAAGTAAAATATATCTCCATCAATGATTTCAGGAGAAGTTGTAAGCATTTTTTAACTGAATAGTACGGGACCGTGTCAATAGTTTTCGAAGATAATGTTTTTGTACTTCTGAATTCTGATGCCGTCCCTACTGAATATAAAAACAATTGTTTAGCGTCCGTCAAGAATCTTTTCTGCACGTAATGCACTGCCGATATATATTAGCTTCCTGTCCTAAAAGTTCTCTGCCCATCTTTATTTATTTGCAAAATGATGGTGTCTGCGTTTGTTTGTTTCGGTTGGCTCGAATAGATAACTTGGATCCTTTTATAAGCTACTACTCTACATCTTAAATAAACAGATCATAAAGTAAGCTACTTTCTTAGAGGCAATGTAGCATCGCTTTTCAAAGAAGATATTCACATTTTTAAGATACCACGTAAGGAATTGTTCCTTTTTGCATTCCTAAAAGAAAACCAACGTGCAGTACAATTTGGTGAACGGCTTCTCGTTTCAGGAAACTTTCTTTGTTGGGTTTTTAATCGGCAACATGTCCTAATCTGTCAATCCAGTTGTACTTTTTCAGCCAACGCAACAATATTTTTCTCTTAAAACAAATCAGCCAACAATACTTTCAGTCATGACTTATCAGCCGAGCGAATAGGGCAATAGAATCCAGCAGTAGGTATATGGGGAATGGGAAGCCCATAACCACCTCGGATGTTGCCAATACTCTTTTATTCTCTACGCTGATCTCCGCCCTGTTCGTTTAGGCTTATTTGTCTTATAAACCATGACTAAAAGTACTGTTGGTTGATTTGGTGTGAGAGAAAAATATTATTCGTTGGCTGATAAATTATGGTTTATAAGTCAAATACGACTAAGCGAACAGGTCACCAATAGGTGCCTCCGAAGACCAAACTTTAACTTTCTGCATAACATATTCACACGTGGCAGCACCTTTGATTCCCGCAGCAAAACACATGCACGAATAGTTTACTCTCATATCGAAATCAGCCACTCGGTATCTAAGGCCTTGTTTAGATTGTAAGTTTTTTTATTTTATCTTCATTACATCAAATCTTTGGACACATACATAGAGTATTAAATGTAGATAAAAAAATAACTAATTACATAGTTTGATTGTAAATTACGAGACGAATCTTTTGAGCCTAGTTAGACCACGATGGGACAATAATTGTCAAATACAAACGAAAGTGCTACAGTGCCCAATACTGATTCCTAACCCAAATCTGAACAAGGGCTAAAATATCTCCAAGTTTCTCCTGTTTCTGTTCCATTGATGCTCGGTAAAAAATGACCCCACACATGACTCAACCCTGCATGCATGCAGAACAAGTCCTGCCTGACTCCTGTAAATAAAGGCGTGTTTAGTTTCGAAATTTTTTGGTTTTTGGCTACTGTAGTACTTTCATTTGTATTTAGCAAAAAATATTTAATTATGGACTATTTAAGCTTAAAAGATTCGTCTCACGATTTCTCAGTCAACTGTGTAATTAGTTTTTTTTTCGTCTATATTTAGTACTCCATGCATGTGCTACAAGATTCGATGTGATGGGTAGATTCGATGTGATGGGTACTGCGCAAAAAAATTTGGATTTTGGGGAAAACTAAACGGGGCCTAAAAAACACAGATTAAGGAACAGCTGACTTCCATCCGAAAAAAAAACTAGACTGGAATCTGCACATCTGTCATCTCCTGTTTGCAGCCATTTTGACTTGCTCAACTGCCGCACTGACGTAGCTTTCGTCGCATATTCGCGGCGTCGAAGTTGGCCTTGTTTAGATTACAAGTTTTTTCGCTCTCTCTTCATCGTATTAAACTTTTAGATACATACATAGAGTATTAAATATAGATAAAAAAAATAACTAATTACACAGTTTGATGGTAAATTACGAGACGAATCGTTTGAGTTTAGGTCATGATTGGACAATAATTATCAAATATAAACGAAAGTGCTACAGTGCCGAATAATAAATCCCGACGCTTATCTAAACAAGGCCTTGTTACGGTTCGGCCACGCATGGCTTTCGCGCCACCATTGACGGACGGGTTTGTTAAGACTCTCCCAAGAACAGATAACGTGCGCAGGTATGCTTTAAAATGTTTGTTTTTTTGCATCCGGCGAGCCGTGTGGGTTTCCACTTTCCAGATCCTACGTGCGCGCGACTGCGATTGCAGGACTGCAGCAGGCGCATGCAGCTGAATGACCTGCGATGATAGTCAGAGCCCGCCTAACCGGACTGACCGTTTCAGCGATCGAGGCCACGGCATGAAACAGCTGGAGATTATGGTGCATGATCCATCCAGGGTCAATTCTGCCGCGCTTTTGTATATCCTGCAGTCGTTTTTTTCCCAGTTTCACGACCCTAGTCCATGCGGTCAGATTGGAAGAAGTCGGGAACGAAAGGTTCCGGGTTTCACTTAGCAGCCCCGGCCACTCCTCTATATCCAATCTTTGCTACTGGGAAGCATCATCCAATTTGACCAGACTGAAGTTGATACACTGGAAAATCAATAGGGCCTTGTTTAGATTCCAAGTTTTTTCACTCTCTCTCTATCACATCGAATTTTTGGACACATGCATGGAGTATTAAATATGGATAAAAAATAACTAATTACACAGTTTGATTGTAAATTACGAGACGAATCTTTTGAGCTTAGTTAGGCCATGATTGGACAATAATTGTCAAATACAAACGAAGTGCTACAGTGCCGAATACTGATTCTTAACAGCTATCTAAACCCGGCCTAGATTTACAGTCTTGAAACACACGCTGAGTCACGCAGTCCTGTTAGATGTGTGCAGTTCTTATCGTGAGTTCTCCATTCTTCACGTTTTTATCGAGAATTCTTCAAGTCCTCCCATGTCAGCAAAGGAACATAAAGCCTCCATTCTTCAAGTTCAGCCTTCTATTCAGCACTGCAAAATGATCTTCAGGAAAGAGTCTGCTCAGGTTATCCTTTAGAGCAAAACAAAAATGTGAGCCTCTTATCAGTTGTCAATTGGCTAGAGGCTTTTGTGTAATTCTGTTGGTTTTCTTAGCCTCCTTTTTTGTTTCGTGATTTGTTTGTAAGACTCTTTTGTTTTTGTGAATAAATTTCCAAAGAGTCTTACAAACGCATGTGTTTCCTTATAATTTTTTTTCCCCGCAAATGTTTCGTCAATCACAAGCCAAGCTTTCCCAGGAGAGAGCCTCGGAGACCTGTGGCCCATATGATAAGTCGTCCAGCCCAGGGCAGGCAAAAAGGCCTGGGCCGAAATTACCAACGCGACCCACAACACCAACACTCCAACAGGACCACCACCACCACCTCATGTGTCATCGTCGATCCAGTCCACGCACCGGGTGCAGGGCCGGAGCCAGGGCGGCGAAACAACGACGCACCGGGCCGTCTCGTCTAAGCGATTTGGTTTCTCGTGGACCACGACTCACGCTGGCCCCGTACACCACTCGTGCGCCAATTCCTCCTCCCCCTCCACCTCCCCCTCCCCCTCCCCGACAAGGCAGCAACAACCTGATTAGACTGTCTCCATCAGCTCATGCAAAGGGCGACGCATACCCAAAATCGGTCATGCACAGTGTTTTTACGGAAGAAAACCGTCTCCAACCGAAGACGCAAACGCATGATGCATTTTGGGTACGAGTCCAACCGAGACGCTTATTTGCGTCGTCTTTCTCCAGGACGCAAAGTCTTCCGCGGCAGGAGCGGTGCGGGCAACTGCTGCTCGGCCAGGAGCCAAATCAACTAGCACACGACGAACAGAGAGCTCGCACGCGAAGAACAGAAAAGGAGCGGCCAAGAAAATCGATGAAATCCGACTCAAATCTTCATGGATCGCTCCCAAACTTTGCACAGCGATTCGCAATGAAGATAAAAAGCTACTCCTAGGAGATCATTGCTCAATTTAAACTGTAACTCTGTAAATCGAAGAAATTCGAGCAAGAACGAGTTTTTCCCCCAAAATGAAGATCGGCTTGGATCTTGATGCACGAGTGGAATTGATTCAAACAACTTGGTATGATTGTTCAACACTCGTCAAAGCATCAATCTGACTAAACAAATCTCACAGCAAAACTCAAATCGAGCACGAATCAAGAAGGGGAAAGAAACAGGAACGAAGAACACAGTGAAGAACAACCGGATCTGGATCCGTGCCGGCGCACAGCAAGCACTGCATCGTCGACCACGACATCGGCTGGTGAGTGCTGTGCTGGTTGATTGATCTCTTTCTCTTCGATTCGCACGCAAGCTAGATAGCTAGCTGTTGGATCTTGCAGTCGGATGGACTGCGAAGCACCTGCTATTGTTTTTCAGTTGGATGGCATGCAGGAGTTATGTCTTTCTTGAACTGCAGGCTGAGGCAGAGGGGGAGGGGCCACCGGCGTGCCACCCGCGAGGGCGGTGGACTCGTTGGAGATTGGGATGGGGGCGATGAAGTCGGGGCTCGCGTATGCGTGGGCTGTTGAAAAAGAGGAGTTTTGGATCACGCACCCATTTCCTGACCCAATCCACCAAATGCGTCTCGTGTATGGGTTCCGATGTTGGAGACAGTCTTACCTGACTCATGGCGGGACGGATGACATCCCCAAAACCCTAACCCCGCGCCACTCGCCGTCACTGCCTCACCCGCGTGGGCCGGCCCAGCGGCCTCAACCCGAACCGAAGCGCCATTGATGAGCCCCGAGCCTGCCCTCGCCGCAGCCAGCGATGCACAAGCTCCTCCCACGCGCCGCCTCCTTGCTCGACGCCGCCGCCTTGGCCCCCCTGCTGCTCTCCTCCCCACGCATGCCCACGCTGCGCCTGGCTGGTAGCCCGTTCGTACCCACGTGCCCTGGCGCAAACCCTGGCCGCATCCGCTCGCCGCCGTGGCTGCGCTGTGACGCTGGGAGGAGGCGGGGACTCTGCTCCGCCGAGGCGGCGAGGCGCGGGGGCGATACGGAGGAGAGGGAGAAGGGTGGCGGGGGTCGCGCTGCGCCAGAGAGGAAGCAGAGAGGTCGGAGTGATGCGCTGGTGGGAAGTGGGGAGCTGCTTGCCATTCCCGGAGTCGGGCCACGGAACCTGAGGAAGCTCGTGGACAAGGGATTCGATGACGTGGCGCAGCTCAAGCAGTTCTACAGGGATAAGGTGTGCGTTGAGCTATTCCTGTGCTCTGTTTCATGGAATATGGATTACGTTAAATTTCTACTGCCTTCTTTTTAAAGGACTCAAAGGGGTCGTGAGTTGTTATACTCTTATATGGTTTGCAGGAGTTTACATCAAGTCCTGATTATATCTCTCAATTTACTCTTAGCTTCAAAGCCTGTCTTCAACACCGTGAGCAATCACGGGATAAACTGATTTCATGTGGCTCACACTATATTTTGCGAGGCTGTCCCCATATTGTCATGGTTTAAATGTTGTGTTTTCTCTTCCAACCAGTTGTTCCCATGCTTAGTAAGATAAAATTAGAATATTCTAATTTCTTGTGCCCTTTTTTCTGTCAAAAGCATTACAGATTGATATGTTGAATGTATATGTTGGAATTGTACTCTCTCATCAGTGCAACTTTCTAAATCTGACTAATTGTAATGGTGAAAATCTAATGAGAAAACAGCAAGAACAAATTACTTTTGTGGTTCACTTTGTGGCCTATCTTTTGCTCTTGGTTTATTTTGCCAAACCTGCTTTGTGACTATTCTGGAGACTATTTACTGAATGTCTGAATGATGTTTATTTAATCTAAGGTCAATGTAATTCATGCTAAGTGCTAACATTTTGTGAGTATTTTGCAGTTCTTTGGCAAGTCTAATGAGAAGATGGTTGAGTTCTTGCAAAATTCAGTTGGCATCATTCACAAGAACCATGCTGAGAGTATAACTTTGTTCATTAAAGAGAGTGTTGAACTGTTGATGAAGAGCTGAAAGGCACCGATACATATTAGCTTCCTAAAAATAGGAGGCTGACCTTCTGTGTAGAAGGGAATATCAGTGTTGGGAAAACTACCTTCCTTCAAAGAATAGCCAGTGAAACTATCGAACTACGTGACCTTGTAGAAATTGTACCTGAACCTATTGCTAAGTGGCAGGATGTTGGCCCTGAACACTTCAATATACTTGATGCTTTTTATACGGAGCCACAGAGGTATGCATACACCTTCCAGAATTATGTATTTGTGACAAGAGTCATGCAAGAGAAGGAATCTGCGTGTGGAATAAAACCTCTTCGGCTGATGGAAAGAAGCGTTTTCAGTGATCGAGTGGTAGGTTTACCTTTGTTGTAAAAACTACCTTGACGACGCATCAAATGCTTTGATGTAATTTGAATTTCACCTTTTGGTCTTTTTGTTTTGTCAATTTCTGTTCCTATTTTAAGGAATGGTTTTTGTTGATATTTTCAGGTTTTTGTTCGTGGTGTGCATGAAGCAAACTGGATGACTGAGATGGAGATCAGCATTTATGACTCTTGGTTTGACCCAGTTGTGTCATCACTCCCAGGTCTTATCCCTGATGGTTTTATTTATCTAAGAGCTAACCCTGATACTTGCCACAAAAGAATGCTGGTGCGAAAAAGATCAGAGGAGGGTGGTGTTACTCTTGATTACCTTCGAGGTTTGCATGAGAAACACGAGAGCTGGTTACTTCCATCCAAGGGAGGAGGTTCTGGCGTGTTGTCCGTCAGTCAGCTTCCAGTTCATATGGCGGGCTCCCTGCCTGCGGATATACGAGATAGGGTATTCTACTTGGAAGGAGATCACATGCATTCAAGTATCCAGAAGGTAACTTTCTCCAATCTTTTTCATGTTTTTATAGTGATCTAGTAAGGAGTTATTTGGTCACATGGGTGAGGCACTGTGGCTCTTTCTTGATAGGTTCCTGCTCTTATCCTGGACTGCGAACATGACATTGATTTTAACAAGGACATTGAAGCCAAACGACAGTAAGTTCTATACTTCATAAGTACTAATATTCTGTTCATTTTCCATTAGTGTTAACCGATCGTTGTAGCTGGAAGTTGACTATAGCATCCACAGTGTCCTGCAAAAGCTAACGTAAAGCAATAAATGCAGCACTGTTCCTAGGCAATACGCATTGTAGAACTGCACCGTAAGGGGAAAAAACTTTAAGGTGCGCTGTAAGCTTACTGCTCGAGCATAAGGAATACAAAATAATTTGTTTCTTCTTTCACTCTCGCCCTATCTCAAGTACCGCAGTTGGTTCTGGCGGTTTGGCGCCACCACCGGGAGCTCACCAGATCTGGTCCCATGCGCCTCTGCAAGCTCAAGGGAGGGCTCTGGACGAGAACTTGATTTGGTCAGATGGGACAGAGGAGCTCTGGAAAGGTTTGCCAACGGCAGATCGGGGAGGACCTCCCCTGCTAGATGCGCGATCACCACAAGCTCCTCATGCTTCCGAACTCGGCTTGCGACCTTCAGGCTCCACGAGGCCCAGGCACAGGCGTGGTAAGCAGAGCAGGGACTAGGGCGAGGCTGTGAAGATCAATGGCTCTGACTCGATAGCCAATGGCTCCGATTCCAGCTAAGAATAGCCGCGTGCATACTGCACTGCTGTGGAGAGAGGATCGGGAATGAGCCATGGAGGGAAACGAGCTTGGCCAACAGACGGAAGGGACGATGGGGTGCAGATGGAGTTGATTGGAGAATTGCGGGATTTTTAATTATAGCATGGGACCCACTTAAGACCCAATTGAACCATATACATTGTGTCAGATGCAATAACTATTGCCTATTTATCTGGGCCCCACCGTAAACTGCAGTCGGGCTATAGACATTGACCTTTCCCTAAGGCATTTGAATTGGCAACCTTTAAACTTTGTCCTTTTGTAGATAGTGGTTTACTAAGCAATTGTAAAATAATGAACCCTATGTATACATGGTATAAAATTGAAAGTATTGTATTTTGAATTGAACTATCTGATACAAATAGTGCGGACTAGCTGTGATTTGCTAGCACAGTGGTTTAACAGTGGGTTCAATGTGTAAATTTTAAGCTTATCGTGTTTTTGGATATCTTTTTGGTTAGGTTTAGCTTTAATGTTTCCACAAGAAAATTTTTGTACATTCAACAAGTTTCTGAAGGGCAGGCCTGGTGCAAGCGGTAGAGTCTTATCGCCTGTGACTGGAAGGTCCCGGGTTCGAGTCGCGGTCTCCTCGCATTGCACAGGCGAGGGTAAGGCTTGCCACTGACACCCTTCCCCAGACCCCACACAGAGCGGGAGCTCTCTGCACTGGGTACGCCCCTTTTACATTCAACAAGTTTCTATGTGACGTTATAAATGTAGCTTATTTTGTGGCTCCTGTTCCTTGACCATCTCACGTGGCCTAATTTGCAACTTGCAAGTTCTAGCTTCTTGGCATCCTGACTGCTAAAGTTTTACTAACAACTAATTGATTGAAGGCTAGGCGTGCCTGTGTGGTTTCTTTTCTTGACCATGAATAAATGAACATATACTGATTCTGTATCTGGAAGTCTTTGAAATGCTGCTGTACATATACTTGCTCCATTTATTAATTTGAGCTGTTTTTCAAGACCAAGTCCTGCGTGCAATAAATTCGTGTTGGCGTCTGATTCCTCTTGCAATTATTATTGTGATGACAAACTTTTCTTTGTCTTGATTTTATTTTTCCATATCAAAACTTGATGGATCTTTATCTGAACACTCCATGTGCTTTAAAATCCCACATTCAAGTATTTTTTTTATATTTTCCTTGAAGATATGCTCGGCAAGTTGCGGAGTTCTTTGAATTTGTGAAGAAAAAGAAGGAATCTCCTACAGCAGAGACGACTGATGGCGATAACAAGAGTATCAACAAACAGATTGTGCTGCCGCACAGAGGTGGTTTGTGGGTGCCCGGAAGCAGCCCATTACCAGAATCAGCTCTAAAGTCGTTTGATTTCAGGAGAACAATGTCTTCCTTCCTCTCAACATAAGGGGGCTATGCGCTATCAATTTCTGCCCACAACCTGAATTGGTGCGGTCCAGCAATGTATCTCGATTGCAAAATATATAGACCTTTAACTGTCGACCCTGTAAATGTGTAAAGATTACATAGAAATTTAGGCTTTTAGTTAGTGTTGGCGTACAATGTATTATACTAGTGGCACAGAGTGGGAGCTCTCTGCTCTGGGTACGTCCTTTTATCCAACTCTGTTGCCTGTAATTGTTGACCGTGCTGCTTTCTGTTTCCCTGTAAATGCCGATCGAGTGCTTTCTGTTTACCTGTAAATGTTGATCGAGCTGCTTTCGAGGCAGTACTTGGTAAATTTGGGGTGGCATCAGACTTTTTTTTTGTTTTATCGTGGTCTTTGCGCCACAATCTCCCTTATCTGGATTCGTACTATGGCATTCTGCTCGGCCGCTCAATTGCTTGGTGGCTTGGTCCAATGGTTGTTGCGCTGCGGTAGTACCTACGTTGGCATTGCCGATCGTGCCTTTGTTATTTTGTGGGATCAGTACTTCAGTGCTGGTCCAAATAATACATCTTTACTATTCCATGCCCTTGAATAAATAAATTCCTAGAGTTGTCTTAAGTTAAATTATGACTGAATTTCTACAAAAACTTGTTAAGATTTATGACTTTAAATTAGTATCATTAGATACATCATAAAATATATTTTTATATTGTGTTTATTTTATGTCATATATGTTGTTACTCTTTTTTATAAAGTTAGTCAAACTTAAGATAGTTTGATTTGCACGGATTATATGAATTAATTTATTTAGAAACAGAGGGAGTACGTGAAACCATGAATTGTTAGTGGTTGGTTCTTCTACTAGACCACTATACCATGCATTTACTCTCTTTGCCCCTAAATAACTGTCGTTGTTGATGTGCGTGCCACAAGTTTGACTCTATTTGTAGAAAATGCGTGCAACATTTTATTACTACAGCGCAGGGATATAGTAACACCAACTTGTGTTACTATAGGATGGAAAAAGTATTACTAGCAATCTTAGTAACACATCTTTTTTTGTGATCCAATTGGCCATGTTACTACATACTGGTTTACTGTAACACATTTACTTGTCTACAGGAACATTTGTATAGTGTTACAGCGATTTTCTGTTGTAACACATTTTTTGCTCTAGTAACACTTCATGTTATAGTAGAATGCATAATTTGTAACACAATTACTAATCTATAGAAACATTTGCCTATTGTTACCGTGATTGTTTACTCTACTAGAATTCACCCCTGATGCAACAACCTAAATGTGTTGCAATAGGTGGAACACTCTATTGCCACATTTGTTGTTTAGTTGCTATAGGTGGAACCCTCTATTGCCAGTTACCACACTAAATGTTTGGTTGCTATAAATATGGAATATATATTGCCAGCGCCAAATGATGATACCAATAGTTTACATTGCAACACTTTATTTACTAGCATCAAATAGTATTGGAACATCATTAATTTTCCAAAACAATATATGGTTAAAAAAGCATTTTGACAAAGCAATTAAACAAAAAATATGATTTGTTTACACATCTGGAATGAAACCATCCCATATCAAACTCAGCTTAGCTACACACATTGTTCAAACTTCAAACCCAAAAGGTATTTGACACACACTTGTTTGTACTTGTCCACATCAAAATCTAATGAGCTATGTCTACAACTACAGCAAAGGTTGGCTTGAATTGACCATTCCATCAATCGAGTGCTCCACTCAAACTCTATCTTCCTGCTTAAAAAAATCATTCAAGTTTGGAGAGACAGAGTGAGAAGACCATCACACTGTTCTGATGAGTCAATTCTACCACTTCGATCACGATCAAACCTCTCAAATATTGCCTGAAAAATACAAGAAACGTCACTACATTAATCTATTGGGTAATTTTGTTTACATATAAGTAATGTGGTAAAGGGATCATTAAGTTGTAGTCATCTTACTCTCTAGTTCTGAAGATGGTAAAATACAAAAGTAAATTCCTTGGGTTCTAAAAGAATAGAAGCAAAAATTAGCATAATTTTATTAAGAAAAGTAGACTCTAAAGGAGACAGCAGGAAAATGTTGAATCCAATATAGGTGTACTTCACACTAATTAGAAAAAGATAGAGAAAAAGAAACATAAATTAGCACTGATCTTTAAGTTTAGATGGGAATGAACAAACACACATCTCATGGCTTGAATAAAATGGTATATGAAAATCTTGCATAAGTTATTAACTGTGAGGATCATGTTAAGACTTTCAAGTTACACAGGATCTGTACCAAACTGGATCCAAGCTCCAGCAAACAGGACTGCCGAAAAGGCAATTAGGAATCTCTAACCAGTACGGAAGCAAAGCAATAGGTGCAGATTAATCAATTCACAAATAAGCCTGCTAATAAGAGGTCTAGTTAAACTTGTGAAAATAATTATCAAGCTCACTAGTCCAAAGCTAATGATTGCATGAAAAGTTCAAAGACTATTGCAACATTATATATAGCTCACAAAGACATTTCACAGGAATTATGGGTGAGATGATGTACAGGCTTGAGGATTTGATACTGTGCACTTCCTGAGATTCTCCATTAATCAGTTACTGCAGTTGTGATAGATGAGAAAGCAAGCACTCTGAATTGCAGCAGCTGTTGTTGATGACCAAGCTAGGGGAGAGAATAAACACTTGATGATGCTATTGCTGAAAAAATCACTATTAAAGATCTGAAAACCAGAGAAGAAAACTTCTAGCCAATCAAAGAAAAATAGTCGAGCTAGACAGCCTGCACCAAGCTGCAGAAATAAACTGACGAGCAGTACTCCTGCTGAAGAAGTGAACTGCTGAGCAAAAATAGCTAAGCTGCTTTTATAGAACTGAAACTCTGAAGAAATAAAATAGTTGATTTTCTGCTATTACCGAGATGACTTGTTTTGTTCACTGAAGCCAACAGAAGACAGAAAAGTGAAAATTACAGCACCAAATGGAAATTGGATTCAATGAAAAACGACATGGTGTCCAAGGTTTATTTGCAAGCTGCTGAAGTCGAACTGAATCCCTAAAAATTGATACAGTCGAGCTGCTTCTTCTTATCAGCTGTACAGATGAATATAATACCACAAGGTATTCTAGCCGCTGGAAGCACAATGGAGAAGTGTGATATGGAACAAGCCGCTGAAGCTTGAAATGAATAGAAGGATTGCAAAAACAAAATTATAGCAATGTTAACCAAACTTTTTTAAAGCCATATCAAATCAAGAAAGCTAGAGTTGAGATTTAAACCATAGGTTTGCTGCATCATGGTTTCCTATAAATCATGCTTAAACAACATAAAACGATGTTTAACAATCAATCTATTTTTAAAAGCATAAAAAATAGTAGAGTAAACATGCACAAGATCACACGTGTGTTACATAAACAGAAAATCAGTAGTTAGTATGAATTTTAGGAGGATCCCACTAAGTCAACTAGGTTTACAGGAAAATGATCAATTCAAACGATCAGATTTCATATAGCACCATGAACCCCTTCCCTTGTAAGAGCATTGATATAAGCTGCAAGTGTAGAAACAAGTACACCTGTCTTCATCTCTCCACGAATTTCACCACTGAGATAAGCTACAAATGTGAGGGAAAAGCTGGGTACTTGGCACGAATTTCACCTTTGGATCTCCGCTGCCAGCCGCGCTAGTGTCCCATCCCGCGCCGCTGCCCGCCCGCCTCGGTGCCGCATCCCGTGTCGCCGCCGCATCCCGCGCCGTAGAGATCCGCCCTACATTGATGTGGAAGAGGCCTCGTCAATCGAGCCTGGCGGAGAGCACGGATGGGAACGCGTACCAACAGCCTAGATATGACTGTCGCGGTGGAGGAACTGCATCCAGCCGTTGGTGTACGAACGGGGGACCTGAGCGCGACCTAACGTAGGAGGAGGGTGATCCGCTCCCCATGGATGCCAGTGCGTGGATCCGCTATGGCGCGTTCCATCGGAGGGAAGGAGGAGGATGCGGGCGACGGGCAGTGGCTGGAGAACGGCGGAGTCGGGGTCGCTCTACCCGTGAGCAAGGAGGTCACGACCGATGGAGGGGTCTGAACTCTGAAGGTGGCGGCGGCTAACGTGGGATTAGGGAGAGAAAGGTTGGAGGGATTTTTGGGTGAGGAGCGAACGCGCGGACTGAAGTCGCTTGAGATTGGGATTTTTTCAAAAAAAAAGCATGAGCATGGGACCTAGCCAATTTTTGGCTCGTGGCTGCGGTTTGGTGTAGTTGTGACAGATAGAGCGCGAGATATCGGAAGTTAGCCGCTCACAGCAAACTATAATGGAGTTTTGGGACTTTTTTTGAACTTTTAATTAGATTAGATGTAAAAAAAATAAGCATGATCCATTTATTGTAGATAATATACTACACATATGTTGGAGTTTTAATTATTTTTGAACTTTACTACTTTCTCCATTCTAAATTAAAAGACTTTATGTTGACTGTGGTTGGATTCCAGTTATGAGCCTGTTCGCTGATTGGTTTCTGGGCTGATAAGTCCGGCTGGTGCTGATTTGTTGTGAGAGGAAAACATTGTTGGCTGGCTGATAAGCCCCGACTGAAACCAACAAGCGAATAGGTTATATGTGTGCGTGTGTGCGTTCATAGGGGTGAGTGTGCGCTCGTGTATGTAAGCGTCTGCGTCTGTAATTGGGTCTCAAAAAATTAAAATAGTTTTTGGCTTTTCTAGATAGATAACTTTGGTTATGCACTCCAGTGCTCCACGTGTTGCCGGATCAGCGTGTGACTTGTACGAATCAGTGTGTCCCTTCGCTAATTCGTCAGAGGTGGCCATAGGGGTGGATCGAAGACAAAGTTAGGGTTCTAAGGTGCGTGCAGCCACAAGATTTTTATATGGGAGAGGTGTTTGTTGGTCTCATGACTTTGTGAGGAGCACGCATTTAGCATTCTACGCGGTAGCTATTATGTCAATTTGATTTTTTATGTATAATATTTATGACACATAAATC